GAAGGAGTGAGGAGTGGTGAGGAGTGGTGAGGAGTGGTGAGGAGTGGTGAGGAGTGAGGAGTGATGAGGAGTGAGAGTGAGGAGTGAGAGTGAGGAGTGGTGAGGAGTGATGAAGAAGGAGTGGGGAGTGGGGAGTGAAGAAGGAGTGAAGGAGTGAGGAGTGAAGAAGAAGGAGTGAAGAAGGAGTGAGGTGTGAGAGTGAGGAGTGAAGAGTGAGAGTGAGGAGTGGTGAAGAGTGAGGAGAGTGAAGAGTGGTGAGGAGTGAGAGTGAGGAGTGGTGAGGAGTGAAGAGTGAGAGTGAGGAGTGAAGAGTGAGAGTGAGGAGTGGTGAAGAGTGAGGAGAGTGAAGAGTGAGGAGTGATGAAGAAGGAGTGGAGAGTGAAGAGTGAAGAGGTGAGAGTGAGGAGTGGTGAGGAGTGAAGAAGGAGTGAGGAGTGAAGAGTGAAGAGGTGAGAAGTGGTGAGGAGTGAAGAAGGAGTGAGGAGTGAAGAAGGAGTGAGGAGTGAAGAAGAAGGAGTGAGGAGTGGGGAGTGAGGAGTGAAGTAGGAGTGAGGAGTGGTGAAGGAGTGAGGAGTGAAGAGTGAGGAGTGAGGAGTGGTGAGGAGTGAAGAGTGAAGAGGTGAGAAGTGGTGAGAAGTGAAGGAGTGAGAGTGAGGAGTGAGAGTGAGGAGTGAGAGTGAGGAGTGAGAGTGAGGAGTGGTGAGGAGTGAAGAAGGAGTGAAGAGTGAGGAGAGTCCAGCTGCATTATTTTCCTCACACACCGGTCGAGCTGTGTGAAGTGGTTTCTCCCAGTGCAGTGAGTGGATCTCTATTCTTTGATCCATATGCTGAGTTTGACCTGAGAATCTCCTGCCGCTCTTGAACAAGTCGCTGCTTCAACTCAGAACATACGCAGTGAGTTTTCTGGAGTGAACAGTGAAGAGTGAAGAAGGAGTGAGGAGTGAGGAGTGAAGAAGGAGTGAGGAGTGGTGAGGAGTGAAGAAGGAGGAGTGAGGAGTGAAGAAGGAGTGAGGAGTGGTGAGAGTGAGGGTGAGGAGTGATGATGAAGGAGTGGGGAGGGAAGAGTGAGGAGTGAGGAGTGAAGGAGGAGTGAGGAGTGAAGAAGGAGTGAGGAGTGGTGAGGAGTGAGGAGTGGTGAGGATTGATGAAGAAGGAGTGGGGAGTGAAGAGTGAGGAGTGAAGAAGGAGTGAAGAAGGAGTGAGGTGTGAGGAGAGAGGAGTGGTGAGGAGTGAGAGTGAGGAGTGGTGAGGAGTGAGAGTGAGGAGTGATGAAGAAGGAGTGGGGAGTGAAGAGTGAGGAGTGAAGAAGAAGGAGTGAAGGAGTGAGGAGTGAAGAAGGAGTGAGGAGTGAGGAGTGAAGAAGGAGTGGTGAGGAGTGAGGAGTGAGAGTGAGGAGTGGTGAGGAGTAAAGAGTGAGTGAGGAGTGGTGAAGAGTGAGGAGAGTGAGAGTGAAGAGTGAGGAGTGGAGAGTGAAGAGTGAAGAGGTGAGAGTGAGGAGTGGTGAGGAGTGAAGAAGGAGTGATGAGTGCAGAGTGAAGAAGAAGGAGTGAGGAGTGGTGAGGAGTGAAGTGGTGAGGAGTGAAGGAGGAGTGCAGAGTGAGGAGTGAAGAAGGAGTGAGGAGTGAAGAAGAAGGAGTGAGGAGTGAGGAGTGAAGAAGGAGTGAGGAGTGGTGAAGGAGTGAGGAGTGGGGAGTGAGAGAGGAGTGAGAGTGAGGAGTGAAGAAGGAGTGAGGAGTGGGGAGTGAGAGGAGTGAGAGTGAGGAGTGGTGAAGGAGTGAGAGTGAGGAGTGGTGAAGGAGTGAGGAGTGGGGAGTGAGAGGAGTGAGAGTGAGGAGTGATTGAGGAGTGGGGAGTGAGAGAGGAGTGAGAGTGAGGAGTGGTGAAGGAGTGAGGAGTGGGGAGTGAGAGAGGAGTGAGAAGAAGGAGTGAAGAGTGAGGAGTGAGAGTGAGGAGTGGTGAAGGAGTGAGGAGTGGGGAGTGAGAGAGGAGTGAGAGTGAGGAGTGGGGAGTGAAGAGTGAGGAGTGAAGAAGAAGGAGTGAGAAGTGAAGAAGAAGGAGTGAGAGTGAGGACTGAGAGAGAGGACTGAGAGAGGAGTGAGAGTGGAGTGAGAGTGAGGAGTGAAGAAGGAGTGAGGAGTGAGAGTGAGGAGTGGTGAAGGAGTGAGGAGTGAGGAGTGAGAGTGAGGAGTGGTGAAGGAGTGAGGAGTGGGGAGTGAAGAGTGAGGAGTGAAGAAGGAGTGAGAAGTGAAGGAGTGAGAGTGAGGAGTGAGAGAGGAGTGAGAGAGGAGTGAGAGTGAGGAGTGAGAAGGAGTGAAGAGTGAGGAGTGAGAAGGAGTGAAGAGTGAGGAGTGAAGGAGTGAAGAGTGAGGAGAGTGAGGAGTGAAGAAGAAGGAGTGAAGAGTGAGGAGCTTGAGGATTGTGAAGAGTGTGAAGAGTGTGAAGAGTGTGAGGAGTGTGAGGAGTAAGGAGTGTGAGGAGTGAGGAGTGTGAAGTGTGAAGAGAGTGTGAAGAGTGTGAGGAGTGTGAGGAGTGAGGAGTGTGAGGAGTGAGGAGTGTGAAGAGTGTGAGGAGTGTGAGTGTGAGTGTGGAGTGTGAGGAGTGTGAGGAGTGTGAGGAGTGTGAGGAGTGGGGAGTGTGAAGAGTGTGAGGAGTGTGAGTGTGAAGAGTGTGAAGAGTGTGAGGAGTGTGAGGAGTGTGAGGAGTGTGAAGAGTGTGAAGAGTGTGAAGAGTGTGAAGAGTGTGAGGAGTGAGGAGTGTGAGGAGTGGGGAGTGTGAAGAGTGTGAGGAGTGTGAGGAGTGTGAGGAGTGTGAAGAGTGAGGAGTGTGAGGAGTGTGAGGAGTGTGAGGAGTGTGAAGAGTGTGAGGAGTGTGAGGAGTGTGAGGAGTGTGAGGAGTGAGGAGTGTGAGGAGTGTGGAGTGTGGAGTGTGGAGTGTGGAGTGTGAGGAGTGTGAAGAGTGTGAGGAGTGAGGAGTGTGAGGAGTGAAGAGTGTGAAGAGTGTGAAGAGTGTGAGGAGTGAGGAGTGTGAGGAGTGTGAGGAGTGGGAGTGTGAGGAGTGGGGAGTGAGGAGTGTGAAGAGTGTGAGGAGTGTGAGGAGTGTGAAGAGTGTGAGGAGTGTGAGAAGTGTGAAGAGTGTGAAAAGTGTGAAGAGTGTGAGGAGTGTGAGGAGTGTGAAGAGTGAGGAGTGTGAGGAGTGAGGAGTGTGAGGAGTGTGAAGAGTGTGAGGAGTGTGAGGAGTGTGAGGAGTGGGGAGTGAGGAGTGAGGAGTGTGAGGAGTGGGGAGTGAGGAGTGTGAAGAGTGTGAAGAGTGTGAGGAGTGTGAAGAGTGTGAGGAGTGTGAGGAGTGTGAAGAGTGTGAGGAGTGTGAAGAGTGTGAAAAGTGTGAAGAGTGTGAAGAGTGAGGAGTGTGAAGAGTGTGAAGAGTGTGAGGAGTGAGGAGTGTGAGGAGTGTGAGGAGTGGGGAGTGAGGAGTGTGAGGAGTGAGGAGTGTGAGGAGTGTGAGGAGTGTGGAGAGTGTGAGGAGTGTGAGGAGTGTGAGGAGTGGGGAGTGAGGAGTGTGAGGAGTGTGAGGAGTGTGAGGAGTGTGAAGAGTGTGAGGAGTGTGAAGAGTGTGGAGTGTGAGGAGTGTGAGAAGTGTGAGAAGTGTGAAGTGTGTGGAGTGTGAGGAGTGTGAGGAGTGTGAGGAGTGTGAAGAGTGTGAGGAGTGTGGAGTGTGAAGAGTGTGAAAAGTGTGAAGAGTGTGAGGAGTGTGAAGAGTGAGGAGTGTGAGGAGTGAGGAGTGTGAAGAGTGTGAGGAGTGAGGAGTGTGAGGAGTGTGAGGAGTGGGGAGTGAGGAGTGTGAGGAGTGTGAGGAGTGTGAGGAGTGTGAAGAGTGTGAGGAGTGTGGAGAGTGTGAGGAGTGTGAGGAGTGGGGAGTGAGGAGTGTGAGGAGTGAGGAGTGTGAGGAGTGTGAGGAGTGTGAGGAGTGTGAGGAGTGTGAGAAGTGTGAGGAGTGTGAGGAGTGTGAGGAGTGTGAGGAGTGTGAGGAGTGTGAAGAGTGTGAAGAGTGTGAAGAGTGTGAAGAGTGTGAAGAGTGTGAAGAGTGTGAAGAGTGTGAAGAGTGTGAAGAGTGTGAAGAGTGTGAAGAGTGTGAAGTGAGTGAGGGTTGCATCAGATTTAGTTCAGATCTCGATCATATGGGGCGACGCTCAAAAACATCAGTAAACACGTCAAGTCTCCTTCATTTATGCAGCGCTTTAACAATCTAGATGTTTCACAGCAGCTCTACAGTTACTGTGTTTCCATCCACACGTTTTTATCCGCATTAAGTGATATCGAATGAAAAATGCCTTATGGAAACAGTAAAATTCGATTGAATTTCAGGAATATCGACTCAAATGAAATACGATCGGTCTCATCGGATTTTATCTTGATCGATATACGGCTTATTCGATAAACGCGGATGGAAACGTTATTATGGCGCGATCCATTTTCCCTAGTAAAACTTTGTTCGCAAATGTTGGCTTGAATGTTGTGCAATTCGGTGAGAAAATGAATGGAAACACCTTAACATGTCTCAAATCAATTCGATATACCGATTTGATCGCAAAACTGCATGTGACGTCATTACGCACAGGTTTTTATCCGCTTTAAAGCCGTTTGATGGAAACACACTTTCACCAGCTTTTTTCGCATGAGGTTTTTTACCGAACTTTAGATAATTCGATTGACAAGTGGATGGAAACATGGCTAGTGATAACAGGAGATTACAGTAACAGAGATTGTTTAGGCTTTACAGCAACTCTAGAATAAAGTTATTGTTCAGCAAGTTAGTTTTGATTGATTCACTTCCATTGCAAAGATCATTAGTTATGAAGTAATCTCTCTCTCTCTCTCTCTCTCTCTCTCTCTCTCTCTCTCTCTCTCTCTCTCTCTCTCTCTCTCTCTCTCTCTCTCTCTCTCTCTCTCTCTCTCTCTCTCTCTCTCTCTCTCTCTCTCTCTCTCTCTCTCTCTCTCTCTCAGTGCCTTCGGTTGCCCGTATTCTGACATGAACATGAAGAAAGAGGTGGTTCTCCCCGACCGGCTCGGAGGAGAGAAGCAGATCACCTTCGTCCCTGTGCACTTTGTGCAGAAAACCAAACGCCTGTGTCCAGATGAAGAAGAAGAAGAAGAAGAAGAAGAGGAGGAGGAGGATGGGAAGGTGGAGAACAGGTTTGTGAATGACCAGATGATCTACTGCACAACTAATGCACTCAGTGTCCACTTTTTGACTCATCATTTGATCGATCTGATCTATAAAATTGTATTGGATCCCAGCCGAGGAATAAGAGTCTGATCTAGACAAACCATCCGCCATTTTATAACAAAATACACATTTATATACTTTTAACCACTAATGCTGGTCTTGCACGTTGAAAGGTCAAGCGTGACCAAGAACAGATCCAGTGTTTACAAAGCCAACGTGCAAAGACTGAGTCAAATGCCATTTACTAAAATAAAATAAAAATAAAATAAAATAAAAGGTAAAATAACGATGTCGGACGAGTTTTTCGCTCTACTCTACATTGTCCGCCCACGTCAGGTTACCGCCTCACCTTTCCTACGTCATTACGTAACGAGTGAAGTCGTGGATTTGTGGTTATAAAGTATCGTCCGACATCGTTATTTTACCTTTTTTTTTTTTTTTTTTTTAAATGGCGTTTGACTCAGTCTTTGCACGTTGGCTTTGTAAACACTGGATCTGTTCTTGCGCCTACGTCACGCTTGACCTTTCAACGTGCAAGACCAGCATTAGTGGTTAAAAGTATATAAATGTGTATTTTGTTATAAATGTCGGCTGGTTTGTCTAGATCAGACTCTTATTCCTCGGCTGGATCGTGTCGAGACTTTGAAGCTGCACTGAAACTCACATCTGGACCTTCGACCCGTTGGACCCCATTGAAGACACTATATGGAGAAACACCTGGAGTGTGTTCCTCAAAAACCTTCATTTCTTTTCCACTGAAGAAAGAAAGACTTGAACATCTTGGATGACGTGTAGAAGAGTAAATTATCCAAAAATGTACTTTCTGAAGTGAACTCCTCCTTTAATTGTCTGATGTTTGGAGAACAGCTTTCCTCTGTCAGTGTGTGTCCTCACACCTGCACACACTCCCAGCGCTGCAGAGAGAGAGAGAGAGCGAGAGAGATCTGCATCATCTGTGCGCAGTGTGAGAGCATTGCTGTGCCGAGAGCTTCCATCCACTGTAAAGTGCGTCAGCAGCTCCACGTTTAATTTGAAAGCGTCAGTGCTTCAGTTCAGTCAATAAACATGCGTGTTACAGTGTAATTCTGTGTCGACTCCAGGAAGAGGAGGAATCGCTGAGCGCTGATTCGTTCAGAGGTTTGGAGTCGTGACAAACTCGTTCGCTGCCAAGAGACGAATCCAGCAGACGAACGTGTGCAGCTTAAAGTGGTTTACTGAGACGCCGATACAGCAGTCTGACTCGTTACAACCAGTGCTCTTATTTATTCAGATGTTAGGTTTTATTTTGGTATTTATATGTTTATACAGTTTTCATTTTAATATTAGTTTAATTTTGCTACGTTTTTTTTGCTCACTTTTATTAGTTTATTTATATATATATATATATATATATATATATATATATATAAATATATATATATATACGGTATATATATATATAATATTTACTATTTATTTATTTTATTCATTTTTATTTATTTTGACATTTTTATTTCATATTTTTTATTTTTGCATGCATCTTACATTTAGCTTGTTTATATATTTATCTATTTTTATTTAGTTTGTATTTGTATTCATTTTCTAAAAAAAATTTGCATACAGCTTAAATTTTGTTTGTTTATTTAATTTAATTTTGTAATTCATTTTTATTTTTATTCTTTTTAATATTAAATTAAAAACATTAAATTAACAATATTTTTGAGTATTTTAAACATGGTTTCCCTGTTTTATAATTTGAAGTGAATTTTTATTTCACTTTTACACTTAGTTCCATTTTAGTTGTTAATAATTTCCAGATAAATCATTTATAATAAATACTGCAATAGTCCATAAAAAATGCGAATGGTCCATGTTGATTTGGTGGTGACTGTAAGGCCCAGGTTTCACTGAGGTGTGTGTGTGTGTGTGTGTGTCTCAGGGTGATGATGGCGTATGACGTGGACGCTCCTCGTCTGCGAGGTCGCCCTGCGCTGGTGAAGCGAGAGCTGAAGGAAGAGCCGGTGACTCTCGGGAAGAGAGGGCGTTTGCCCAACAGGTGCGGATTCAACTATAGACTCATGAATTATGATCATTACGGGTGTAACGATGCCCTCATGTCATGATGTTGACTGATTAAAAATTGACTGATTAAAATGCTAAATTCGGTATTACATTGTGTGTGTAAATGAATATCTTGGACTTGGTGCTGAAACCCAAAGCACAGACAATAGAGACACCAGAATAACAATATTCATGATTCTGAAGCTGAAACACAGATTATTGTAGATGAATATGCTTGATCTCTGTCTCTGACTAGATATATTTATAATAATGTCGGACACTTTTACTGGAAACATCAGATATTTGTCATAATCAGGAGCCACAAATATTCCCATTATTATACATTATATTCAACATTATATATAGTAGTTTAATGTAGTACTGACACTAAAACTTTTTATTTTGCGCGAATTATCCGCGATACATATTGTCGCATTTTTGTATTGCGATATATTGTGACACGATATACTGTTACACCCCTAATAATTATTAATCACTCTCTTCAGTGTGTGATGTTGCTGTGTGATCATGAGAAGCTCCAGTTCTCCTCTATATCAGTGTCAGTGTTCCTGAACTCCTGAAACGCCTCCATTGTAGTCTTGAGTTTCTTTCGGTAACAAACACGTCACAGTATTCCTCATTATAATAATTCATGCGCAGAATAAAGGGGCGGGGCCTGGTTGAGTTAGTTAGTAGTGTGTTAAACTGGCGGTTATGGAAAGGGGCGGGACATTTCCCAAACACACTCGAAGCGCTCGACCAATCACAACACACTGCTCCAGCCGACCAATCAGAGCACAGTGTGCTTTCAGAAGGAGGGGCTTCATAGAGACAGGAAGTAAACAGAGCGTTACTGACAGACTGGGAGGAGAGGAGCCGCAACAATGGAGAAAATGAGGAGAATAATAATGAATATTCATTCATCTTCTGAGCTCAAACTTTTGTCCACGCATTAAAGTCTACATAACCAACATGTTCAAGGTTCAAAAAGTAAACTTTTGTAAAAAAAAAAGAAAACAACTTTAAATCAAATTTCAGGTCATAAAAAGCCTTAAATTGTCATTGTAAGTCGTCTTAAATTTGGGGATGGAAATGCATAACTTATGTGATTATTATTTTTATTATGAAAGTGGTTATTAAACTTTAAAAGGCTATACAATAGAATTACATAAAAATAAGCACTGCAGGGTTATTGTTAAGTAAAACTAAAATAAAAATAAATAAAAATCATTACTTTAAAATAAAATAAACAATAACTGAAAAAAATAAATATAAAATAAACTTGAAATCGGCTAGTTGTCAAGGCAACGTTTCTCAGTTTTATGTACTGTAGTTTAAGCTGAAGCACTAAAACTAAATAACCATATAGACATTTAAAAAAATAAATGTAGCATAAATGACAAACACAAACAAAATACTTGAAACGTTAATAAAACTACTAGTTTCAAAGGAAAAAATCCACTATTGATTGACTTCTAATTCATATTCATTGACATATTGGTACATAAACCAATTTCAAATCAGACAATATGCTTGTATTGAATAGATCACGGATAGACGTGGTTCATTTGTTCCACATTTCTTTACTAATGCGTCCTGGATGGATTTATTGCACGTCTGAAATATCTGTGATGTAAAAGAGAGATTTGAATAGAGTTGAACTTCTGTTAATTTGCTGTTTTATAACAATAATAATATAATAGAGAGACAATCTGTGCACAAACCTGAAGTGTTAAACGAACTGTGTTTGTCTGAACGCTTCTAGCTTTTATTTTATATTAACTTACATTTGTCCGTCTAGTGTTCGTTTCGCTGTTATTTAGAATTGTGAAATTTTGCATGCATCTTAAATTTTATTTATTTATTTTTATTATTTTTTTGTAATTTTTATTTGTTGTTAATTATTTTGCATGCATCTTAAAATGTGCTTGCTTTTTTAATTCTTTTTATTTTATTTATTTTTATATGCATATAAAATTTTGCGTGCATAAATAAATATACAAGTTAAATTTTATATTTTAATTCATTTTGTTTATTAATTTTTTTTAATTTGTAATCTTTTACAGTGTAAAAAAAATTGTGATTTTAATATTTTGATGATATCTGTTTCATATGAATGTCTGATTGTGGTGAAATGAGCCTGAGACGCTTGTTATTATTCACTGCTGGTTTGATTAGAGTTTCGCTCATTTCTCTCTCTCTCTCTCTCTCTCTCTCGCCCCCCCGCCTCTCTCTCTCTCTCCCCTCTCTCTCTCTCTCTCTCTCTCTCTCTCTCTCTCTCTCTCTCTCTCTCTCTCTCTCTCTCTCTCTCTCTCTCTCTCTCTCTCTCTCTCTCTCCCTCCCTCTCTCCCTCTCTCTCTCTCTCTCTCTCTCTCTCTCTCTCTCTCATCTCTCTCTCTCTCTCTCTCTCTCTCTCTCTCTCTCTCTCTCTCTCTCTCTCTCTCTATGTCTCTCTCTCTCTCCCTCTCTCTCCCTCTCTCTCTCTCTCTCTCCCTCTCCCCCTCTCTCTATGTCTCTCTCCCTCTCTCTCTATGTCTCTCTCTCTCTCTCTCCCTCTCTCTCTCTCTCTCTCTCCCTCTCCCCCTCTCTCTATGTCTCTCTCCCTCTCTCTCTCTCTCTCTCTCTCTCCCTCTCCCCCTCTCTCTCTCTATGTCTCTCTCTCTCCCTCTGTTCAGAATCTCTCAGTCAGCGAAGTTTCTGCGCATTAAAGACGAGGACGACGACATCGACGTAAACAGCGTCATTTCAGGTGTGTGTGTGTGTGTATTCTCACTTGTTCAGGTGTGTGTGTGTGTGTATTCTCACTTGTTCAGGTGTGTGTGTGTGTGTGTGTGTATTCTCACTTGTTCAGGTGTGTGTGTGTGTATTCTCACTTGTTCAGGTGTGTGTGTTTATGTGTGTGTGTATTCTCACTTGTTCAGGTGTGTGTGTGTGTGTGTGTATTCTCACTTGTTCAGGTGTGTGTGTGTGTATTCTCACTTGTTCAGGTGTGTGTGTTTATGTGTGTGTGTATTCTCACTCGTTCAGGTGTGTGTGTTTCTCACTCGTTCAGGTCGTTCAGGTGTGTGTGTTTCTCACTCGTTCAGGTCGTTCAGGTGTGTGTGTTTCTCACTCGTTCAGGTCGTTCAGGTGTGTGTGTGTTTCTCACTCGTTCAGGTGTGTGTGTTTCTCACTCGTTCAGGTGTGTGTGTGTTTCTCACTCGTTCAGGTGTGTGTGTTTCTCACTCGTTCAGGTGTGTGTGTTTCTCACTCGTTCAGGTGTGTGTGTTTCTCACTCGTTCAGGTGTGTGTGTTTCTCACTCGTTCAGGTCGTTCAGGTGTGTGTGTTTCTCACTCGTTCAGGTCGTTCAGGTGTGTGTGTTTCTCACTCGTTCAGGTGTGTGTGTTTCTCACTCGTTCAGGTGTGTGTGTTTCTCACTCATTCAGGTGTGTGTGTGTTTCTCACTCGTTCAGGTGTGTGTGTTTCTCACTCGTTCAGGTCGTTCAGGTGTGTGTGTGTGTTTCTCACTCGTTCAGGTGTGTGTGTTTCTCACTCGTTCAGGTGTGTGTGTTTCTCACTCGTTCAGGTCGTTCAGGTGTGTGTGTTTCTCACTCGTTCAGGTCGTTCAGGTGTGTGTGTTTCTCACTCGTTCAGGTGTGTGTGTTTCTCACTCGTTCAGGTGTGTGTGTTTCTCACTCATTCAGGTGTGTGTGTGTTTCTCACTCGTTCAGGTGTGTGTGTTTCTCACTCGTTCAGGTCGTTCAGGTGTGTGTGTTTCTCACTCGTTCAGGTGTGTGTGTTTCTCACTCGTTCAGGTGTGTGTGTTTCTCACTCATTCAGGTGTGTGTGTTTCTCACTCGTTCAGGTGTGTGTGTTTCTCACTCGTTCAGGTCGTTCAGGTGTGTGTGTTTCTCACTCGTTCAGGTGTGTGTGTTTCTCACTCGTTCAGGTGTGTGTGTTTCTCACTCATTCAGGTGTGTGTGTTTCTCACTCGTTCAGGTCGTTCAGGTGTGTGTGTTTCTCACTCGTTCAGGTGTGTGTGTTTCTCACTCGTTCAGGTGTGTGTGTTTCTCACTCATTCAGGTGTGTGTGTGTTTCTCACTCGTTCAGGTGTGTGTGTTTCTCACTCGTTCAGGTGTGTGTGTTTCTCACTTGTTCAGGTGTGTGTGTTTCTCACTCGTTCAGGTGTGTGTGTTTCTCACTCGTTCAGGTCGTTCAGGTGTGTGTGTTTCTCACTCGTTCAGGTGTGTGTGTTTCTCACTCGTTCAGGTGTGTGTGTTTCTCACTCGTTCAGGTCGTTCAGGTGTGTGTGTGTTTCTCACTCGTTTAGGTGTGTGTGTTTCTCACTCGTTCAGGTCGTTCAGGTGTGTGTGTTTCTCACTCGTTCAGGTCGTTCAGGTGTGTGTGTGTTTCTCACTCGTTCAGGTGTGTGTGTTTCTCACTCGTTCAGGTGTGTGTGTTTCTCACTCGTTTAGGTGTGTGTGTTTCTCACTCGTTCAGGTCGTTCAGGTGTGTGTGTTTCTCACTCGTTCAGGTGTGTGTGTTTCTTACTCGTTCAGGTCGCTTAGGTGTGTGTGTTTCTCACTCGTTCAGGTGTGTGTGTTTCTCACTCGTTCAGGTCGTTCAGGTGTCTGTGTGTTTCTCACTCGTTCAGGTGTGTGTGTTTCTCACTCGTTCAGGTGTGTGTGTTTCTCACTCGTTTAGGTGTGTGTGTTTCTCACTCGTTCAGGTCGTTCAGGTGTGTGTGTTTCTCACTCGTTCAGGTGTGTGTGTTTCTCACTCGTTCAGGTGTGTGTGTTTCTCACTCGTTCAGGTGTGTGTGTGTGTGTGTGTTTCTCACTCGTTCAGGTGTGCGTGTTTCTCACTCGTTCAGGTGTGTGTGTGTGTGTTTCTCACTCGTTCAGGTGTGTGTGTTTCTCACTCGTTCAGGTCGTTCAGGTGTGTGTGTTTCTCACTCGTTCAGGTGTGTGTGTTTCTCACTCGTTCAGGTGTGTGTGTTTCTCACTCGTTCAGGTGTGTGTGTTTCTCACTCGTTCAGGTGTGTGTGTTTCTCACTCGTTCAGGTCGTTCAGGTGTGTGTGTTTCTCACTCGTTCAGGTGTGTGTGTTTCTCACTCGTTCAGGTGTGTGTGTTTCTCACTCGTTCAGGTCGTTCAGGTGTGTGTGTTTCTCACTCGTTCAGGTGTGTGTGTTTCTCACTCGTTCAGGTGTGTGTGTTTCTCACTCGTTCAGGTGTGTGTGTTTCTCACTCATTCAGGTGTGTGTGTTTCTCACTCGTTCAGGTCGTTCAGGTGTGTGTGTTTCTCACTCGTTCAGGTGTGTGTGTTTCTCACTCGTTCAGGTGTGTGTGTTTCTCACTCGTTCAGGTGTGTGTGTTTCTCACTCGTTCAGGTGTGTGTGTTTGTGTGTGTTTCTCACTCATTCAGGTGTGTGTGTTTCTCACTCGTTCAGGTGTGTGTGTTTCTCACTCGTTCAGGTCGTTCAGGTGTGTGTGTTTCTCACTCGTTCAGGTCGTTCAGGTGTGTGTGTGTGTGTTTCTCACTCGTTCAGGTGTGTGTGTTTCTCACTCGTTCTGGTCGTTTAGGTGTGTGTGTTTCTCACTCGTTCAGGTGTGTGTGTTTCTCACTCGTTCAGGTGTGTGTGTTTCTCACTCGTTCAGGTGTGTGTGTTTCTCACTCGTTCAGGTCGTTCAGGTGTGTGTGTTTCTCACTCGTTCAGGTGTGTGTGTTTCTCACTCGTTCAGGTGTGTGTGTTTCTCACTCGTTCAGGTCGTTCAGGTGTGTGTGTGTGTGTTTCTCACTCGTTCAGGTGTGTGTGTTTCTCACTCGTTCAGGTCGTTCAGGTGTGTGTGTTTCTCACTCGTTCAGGTGTGTGAGTGTGTGTGTTTCTCACTCGTTCAGGTGTGTGAGTGTGTGTGTGTTTCTCACTCATTCAGGTGTGTGAGTGTGTGTGTGTTTCTCACTCATTCAGGTGTGTGTGTTTCTCACTCGTTCAGGTGTGTGTGTTTCTCACTCGTTCAGGTCGTTCAGGTGTGTGTGTTTCTCACTCGTTCAGGTCGTTCAGGTGTGTGTGTGTGTGTGTTTCTCACTCGTTCAGGTGTGTGTGTTTCTCACTCGTTCAGGTCGTTCAGGTGTGTGTGTTTCTCACTCGTTCAGGTGTGTGTGTTTCTCACTCGTTCAGGTGTGTGTGTTTCTCACTCGTTCAGGTGTGTGTGTTTCTCACTCGTTCAGGTGTGTGTGTTTCTCACTCGTTCAGGTGTGTGTGTTTCTCACTCGTTCAGGTCGTTCAGGTGTGTGTGTGTGTGTTTCTCACTCGTTCAGGTGTGTGTGTTTCTCACTCGTTCAGGTCGTTCAGGTGTGTGTGTTTCTCACTCGTTCAGGTGTGTGTGTGTGTGTTTCTCACTCGTTCAGGTGTGTGTGTTTCTCACTCGTTCAGGTCGTTCAGGTGTGTGTGTTTCTCACTCGTTCAGGTGTGTGTGTTTCTCACTCGTTCAGGTGTGCGTGTTTCTCACTCATTCAGGTGTGTGTGTTTCTCACTCGTTCAGGTGTGTGTGTTTCTCACTCGTTCAGGTGTGTGTGTTTCTCACTCGTTCAGGTCGTTCAGGTGTGTGTGTTTCTCACTCGTTCAGGTGTGTGTGTTTCTCACTCGTTCAGGTGTGTGTGTTTCTCACTCATTCAGGTGTGTGTGTTTCTCACTCGTTCAGGTGTGTGTTTCTCACTCGTTCAGGTGTGTGTTTCTCACTCGTTCAGGTGTGTGTGTTTCTCACTCGTTCAGGTGTGTGTGTTTCTCACTCGTTCAGGTCGTTCAGGTGTGTGTGTTTCTCACTCGTTCAGGTGTGTGTGTTTCTCACTCATTCAGGTGTGTGTGTTTCTCACTCGTTCAGGTGTGTGTGTTTCTCACTCATTCAGGTGTGTGTGTTTCTCACTCATTCAGGTCGTTCAGGTGTGTGTGTTTCTCACTCGTTCAGGTGTGTGTGTTTCTCACTCATTCAGGTCGTTCAGGTGTGTGTTTCTCACTCGTTTAGGTGTGTGTGTGTTTCTCACTCGTTCAGGTGTGTGTGTTTCTCACTTGTTCAGGTGTGTGTGTTTCTCACTTGTTCAGGTGTGTGTGTGTTTCTCACTCGTTCAGGTGTGTGTGTGTTTCTCACTCGTTCAGGTGTGTGTGTTTCTCACTCGTTCAGGTCGTTCAGGTGTGTGTGTGTGTGTGTTTCTCACTCGTTCAGGTGTGTGTGTTTCTCACTCGTTCAGGTCGTTCAGGTGTGTGTGTGTGTGTTTCTCACTCGTTCAGGTGTGTGTGTTTCTCACTCGTTCAGGTCGTTCAGGTGTGTGTTTCTCACTCGTTCAGGTCGTTCAGGTGTGTGTGTGTGTGTGTGTGTTTCTCACTCGTTCAGGTGTGTGTGTTTCTCACTCGTTCAGGTCGTTCAGGTGTGTGTGTTTCTCACTCGTTCAGGTGTGTGTGTTTCTCACTCGTTCAGGTGTGTGTGTTTCTCACTCGTTCAGGTGTGTGTGTTTCTCACTCGTTCAGGTCGTTCAGGTGTGTGTGTTTCTCACTCGTTCAGGTGTGTGTGTTTCTCACTCGTTCAGGTTGTTCAGGTGTGTGTGTGTTTCTCACTCGTTCAGGTCGTTCAGGTGTGTGTGTGTGTGTTTCTCACTCGTTCAGGTGTGTGTGTTTCTCACTCGTTCAGGTGTGTGTGTTTCTCACTCGTTCAGGTGTGTGTGTTTCTCACTCGTTCAGGTGTGTGTGTTTCTCACTCGTTCAGGTGTGTGTGTT